GAAATCTTCAGATGACACTCTTTTATAACAATTCCACTACATTTACCTATCTGCTTAAGAGTGCAAACTTGCACAGATTATCGGTTTCTAATAAGTTTTCCAAGGGCAATGTATTCCAAATATGTTTCTATGGACATCTAGCAGGTGGACACTTGAAAAATAAAAGCATTGTTATTTCATCCTAAATCCCATTAAGCTGATTCGCACCATTAATTTAATCTTAGCTTATAGAAATATTTAAAAAATATGGAAAGTATTTTTAAAAAAAATTGGGGGTTTTTTTTGTTTGTTTGTTTTAATAAAATGGCTTGTTTCCCTCTGCTACTGCAGGAATAGCACAGTAGTGTCTCCAAAGGTAAGACTGAGCTGAAAGAAGCAAGGCCCTTTACTGCATGTTTCAGTGATGTAACTGAATTCCTGGTTTTGCACAGCACTTTATAAGATAACTGTATTTGCTGTGGAACATTTACTAGCGCCTGCAAGGGCAATGGTCTGGAAGATAAATTTATTTTTTTCAAATTTTACCTTGTTCCACACATTTGTTTTCGTTCCTCCAGCTATCAAATACAGTTCTCACACAGATCAATCTTTTTATGCACATGCATTCTCACAAGCCCCTCTGTGCTGGAAGGGAAATAGACTGAAGCTGGGACAGAGATTTAATGAGATACAGGGTGCATGTAAAATGTGATAGATATACAGTTTCTCATGTCGCATGATTTTCATTGAGATATGTAAGAGCTAGCAAATAACTCAGAAGATTATGACTTTTCATGCAGAAATACATATCAAAGGTTTCTTATCCATTTAAAAAGGCAAGTGATTTTTTTGGTATCTTCAAAAACAAGGGAATATTTACAAACTCCAAGTCTGGACTTGGAGTCCTACATCTAAGTATCTAAACAAACATAACTTGGTACTCTCTCTCCACCTCCATTGATTTCAAAGGTATTTATTGGTACCCCACACATTTGCAAAATCTGTATTCATTTAGGAGACAGGATTTAAGAATGAAATCCCAACCCAATCTTCTGCTCTTGTAGCTTTATAGCACTCTTTCCTGGGCTGAAATTCATGGCCCTCAACCATTTACATGACGTAAGCTCGCTTATGGCTTGCCTTGTTGAAACACACTTCAGTTATGGTAGTGATACAAAGCCCCTGCAGAGCCTTCACTTGGGGTGGAAAAAAGTGAGATGAAGAAATACTTTCTGTGGAAGAACAAGGGTCCCACAAGAAGATGCTCAACTGACTCAGTGAGCCAGATCAGACAGCTGTAGCAAAATTTTCCTGTGCAAACCCTCTTAAAAGGCTCAAGTGATGAACTGAAGTTATCCAAGCAAAACTTCTTGCACTTCAGATATTCGTACAGACAGATGCCTTCACTGAACAAAGTTTCATTATCCTCACTCTGACCACTTTTGCACGTCTGTTTACTAACAACAGGCAGGCGATTTGCAAGGTCTGGCGTGGAAGTGATGACAATGGTATTTACATTCTCAAAAAAGGGCAGCCACTGGTTTAATGTATAAACTTTAGGAGTGGCTTGATGTATGCTGCTGACTGGAAAAGACACAGCCTGCAGGATTGTGAAACATGCTATTTAATTATTTTATTGAAGGATACCGTCCTCTACAGCTGTCAACCCACGCTCAGAATACAAGCTGTCTTTTAAAAGGCAAAACCAATGTCAAGTAATCTATGTGCTTAATGGGTGGTTAGCCTTCTTTGGGGTGAAATTATTAGATACTAAAAATATTTCCTTTTTTGTCAATGTGTATTTCCCCTTTTTTTCCTGTTCGTGCAAGGCTATTAAAAGAATACCATTCTTAATCAAATAGAGTAACATTCTATGAAGCTACTTGAGAACACGATGCGCTCTGTAGGGTGCAGTCAAAAGTACTGCATTTGTTTAAAAAACAAAACAAAACACCCCACGTCCCCCCCCAAAAAGCACTCCAGTGAATAAGCGACATTCCCCCCTACAAAAAGAAAAAAAAGAATAAAATAAAATTAAAAAAAATCACCAGAGGAATATATTCCAAACTTTTCTTAAGAAAATAAACAGAAGATGAAAGGAGAGGCGGAGAAAAAAAACATTTTCATGGATAACTTGATCTTTTTTAAATAGTCATTAAAGCTGTTTTGGCCTGAGTTTGCTTCATTAATTTTCTTATGTAAGTGGTCAAAAATTAAATTTCTAACAGTTCTACCTTATTTTGAAGCTATATCTTATATTGAAGGGGCATGAATCTAGATTGCTTCTATTTGAAACATTAGCTAGAGAAATGATATGTTTCATCTGGAGAAAAACTCTAGAAGCTTATTTGAATTCATGCTGCACAGACTTGACCCTTTACTGGTTTCAAAGGCATCCAAAAAAGTGCAGCCATGAGCCAGATGCAGATTCTACCTCTGTCTACAATGTAAAGCTAAAACTTATTCTTTAAATTTTCCTTAGAGAATCTTTCTTTAGGTTATGATATATATAAAAGAGTTATCTGAGCATCTATATGAAGACCAAAAAAAGAAAACAGTCTCTCAAGTTACTTCTCTAAGAGAGAGGGGAATAAAAGCCGCCTCTTGGGCTCTTACTTCCTTTTTTTGATTACTCAAGCTGTGAAGCAGGTGTAGGTAATTACTTAAAGCCCAAAAAACCTTTAAAAAACAAGTGTCTATAACCATTTTATTAGCATAAATATAATTAAAAAAAAAAAGACGTAGTATCTTAAAGACTTCTTTCTGGTAAAAACATTAGACATTTTCTCTTCCTACCAATATTAAAAGAAACTCTTAGCCCTTAATTACTTAGTATAAACTATTTTTAGAATAATGCCATTTGTACATATTGAAAAATTGTCACTGGCTCAGGACTGAATCTTCACCATCTGGGGACTTGGCCGGCACTGGGTGGGTTTTCTGGGGAGTTTTTTTGTTGGGTTTATTTGGTGAGTTTTAGGGGGTTTTCTTATGTTGGTGCTTTTTGGGTTGCGGTGGTTTTTTTTTTTTCTTCTTAAGGGCAGGAAGGGAAATTTTAGAAGCTTGGGAACACCACAACAGTCTGTTAGAGGCAGAGAAGCTGATGGCAAGCTCTGAAATATGTGTTAAATGTACTAGTACGGCTGGAGCAATATACTTGGAGTTACATTTCCAGCAAAGGCTGGGAAGAACACTTGTCTCAACAGCAGAACTGTGAAGGCTGTAGCCTGGTTGCAACAGAGAACCCCGACTGAAACAGGCCCGGGGCTATGTAGTACTGAGGAAGGCAATCCCTGCATACAATAGCGGCAAATTATAATACAATATTTGGAAAATCTAAAGTCTGCTAAGGGAAATTTGAAATGGTCAATCACTGTTCATTAAAAAATGCTTCCAAAATATAAAGCAGTGCCAAAAAGAAGGTTTAACTTTTAATCCCTCCCCTGAAATGATACTCCCCACAGAAGCAGGATGAATACCAGCAGTTCAGCATGGAAATTTCTCCCACAAGTAGCAGGAAGAGGGAAAAAAGCATGCTGCAAGCTCATTAACAACACCTATCAAGACAAATAAAAACGTATTGCAATTTAAGATACTGATGCAGAGAAGTCCAAGTAGACCACCCAAAAATTATACAAAAAGGCATAAATAAATTAAAACAAACCACAACTGCGAATTCTTTCTCATAAATTCTCACAAAGAATAAAAAAGTCTGTACAGATTCTCCAAGTATTTGTTAATTTACTTCTTTCCGGGAGTCTGATATGTCAGTTAAATCCATACATCCTAGAAATATCAATAAATATTGTTATACTTCTTTTTTTTTTACTAAGTAAAGAGTATGTTTTTTAAAAAGACAACCCACAGAAAGTTCTTAAGACTTGTTTTACACTTATGGATTGGAGTACAAATGCTATTAAGGTGGGGTTAGGCACGACACAGACACACAGTTTGATCTTTGAGGTCTGTTTCCATCATTTTTCACTTAGCTCTGTAAATTACTTTTGAATTTAAGAGTTGTGTAAAATAAATATTTCTGTATTCAAAGGTATGAGTGAGCAAATCCAGATCTAGAAAATTCTCTTTATCAATACAACAAAAAATAATGAAGGCAACAAGTTTATTAATTATACGTGCTCAGTAATAGAAAAGGAAGTGGTGCTAATTTGGTGGGTTGCATTTTATTAAGACACAAACTCCAATTACTTCCTATGAAATCTTTTTTCAATATAAATATAGTTGTGCAAAGCAAAGTCCACTATAATAAAAGATTCCATTACAACAGCAGAGCAACATTTACATATTTCAAGGAACAGCCTAAAACTTGAGGGTGATCTAGAGCCCCCTTCACACAGCAAGGGAAGGAAATACAAATGCCAGCATTTGGTTTTTTTTTTTTAAAAAAAGGCCTAAAAATAAATAAATTCCACATTAAGATTCAGTTCTTAAAATATCTCTATTGTTGTCTTGGTTTCTATTTGCTTTCCACAATCCCCCAAATGGCATTCTTTCAAAACTGTTATATAAAGAGTCATTACTTGTTAGAGATGCCCAGAATTCTGGTAAGGGATCCCTTGGCTCTTCTCAGAGTTGGGTTTTGCATAGGAACTGAGGGGGAATTTTTCAACCAGCTGTCACACCCCCAATGCTTTAGGGCATCTGAGTGTTCAGGAGTCCACCCCACGGGTTACAGCACCTGCAGGTAGAGCTGGAGAGATGCACACCAACCACACATGTTCCCTTTTCTCTGGCCATACCAACACTGCTCCAGAGCCGTCCTACGCACCACAGAACACAGCAATTCTTTCTTTTACCTGCATCCGTTGGCAGGCTGGTGGCAAAGCTGCTGAACACAGCCACAAACAGAGGTCTTAACAGTAACACCTGATTTCCAACTTTGAACTATTTTTGGTATTATTCTAATGCAAATTCCAAAACATTCCTTAACGCTTTTATGTTTCTTAATGCTACATTAAAAAGCATTTTTAAGCTTCAAAATGGTTCCATGATACCATCCTTACCTATGAAGTTTATCCTCCAGCATCTCCATGTACTTTTCAGCATTTTCTTTTACACTGGTCACTGCAAAATAAAAGTCAAAGTTAGGTAATGGTATAACCATACAGTTTCGGGGTGGTGGTAGTGGGGTTGTTGTTTGTTTTGTTTTTTTTAAAAACCAACTCATTTCTTACCCACAAATTTTACATATATCAATTAGAAATGAGAATTCCATTAATCTTTTTCACACCCAAATTACAGTGTGTCTTCTCTTTTTTTTTCTTGAAAGTTTACTGTATCTACATTACATTAGGATATCCAATAACTAATGCATTAGCCTCTTGGCTGTGACAGAAAAACGGTGAGACTAACAAAGGCACAGTTTGTAAGAGTTTCCTGTTGACTGAAAAAACCCCCCACCAAACGCAGGAAAAAAACCCAAAACCACACACACAAAAAAAGAAAAAGCCACCAAAGTAGGTCCTCCCCTTTATCTTCAGGAGAAGCAGGCAAGCCTAACTAATTTGTCAGTCCATGCACGAGTCCTTTAAAATGTTATGAATCTTCTGAATCTAAGAATATCAAACTTCTTCTGATAAAACCAAAACACTATAGAATGGAAAGAATTAGCACTCAAGACTGTTATGGGGGGTGGAGGTGTTGCAGCTTGGTGTTTTCAGGGTTTTTGTTTGTTTGTTTTTAAGCTTGGGACATAGATATTGCCTTCATATGAGTCCCTACAATTTCTTCACTCAGAATAAACTCCAATAAACTACTTACTCACTGTAACACACAATAATAAAGGTTATAGGTACCAATGGGGGAAAAGTTAAATCTCCTCCAAGAAAATGGAGGCTTTTAGAGGATAATTTTCATATTATGATTGCTTTTTTCCCCTCCCTAACAGCTGCTTGTCAACTCCAAGTCTAGTAGGACTATTAATCAGTTTGCACTTTTAAAATCTTAACACATTGTACATGTATTAAATATATATTTTATATAAAGATGCATTCTACAGAGCATAACTGTTTTTATGGGCAAAGCTTGCTACATGGATCACGTACACTGTGAATTTAGCAAATTCACCTCCCCCTTATCTTCACTACAATACAATGCCTCCAAGCACTACACATATCAAGTACTTCATGTATTTCTCACTTTCCCCATATACTTTTTTTGTATATTTTTTTTCTTCACAAAATAGAATGTCACGCACTAAAGCCTAACCCAAAAACTCAGCATTAACCAAATCAGCTGTGCTAAAGTCATGTTCTCACACACACAGAGGAGTTCACCAACTGAAACCACTCGGGTAATACCCATTAGCAGCAAGCATCAGGGTCAATGTAACATTGACCGTCTGCAGAAGGTGGTGTTCACCTGGTCACACAGCAGCCATCCATCAGTGAAGCAGTCTGCATCCCGATAGCAAATATAGCACACATTTTGCAAAGCTGATTTACTTTTTCAGGGGTTTTTTAATTTATTTTATGAGATAGTTTATTAGATTAGCAACCCCCTGCCCCCAAAAAACCAAAACAAAACCCAACAATCATCCTCCTCCCCACGTCCCCTCCAAAAAAAGAAGCACCCCAAACAAACTAAAAACCAAAACCCTAGTACTCTGGAATATATCATTGTTTTGTTCAGAACATCTTTAATCCAGGTTCACCACTGGAACAGGTTCTGCAACACAACATCTTGAGTCAGTAGGATTCATTCTGGAAGATCATGTTGAACATAGAATCATAGAATTGTTTAGGTTGGAAAAGACCTGTAAGATTATGGATTCCAACTGTTAACCTAGCACTGCCAAGTCCACCACTAAACCATGTCCCTAAGTGCTGTGCATTTGTTTATACATTCACAAACATCTCTCCATTAGAGGAGTGCTGGTGGGTGTTATGGAAAATGTTATATAAGGATTTTTGTAATGGCACTAGAGTTAAATAAGTTTCCTTAGCTTGTAGGAGTTTTATAACAATTACAGGGCTTAGTGGAACTTCCCAGTTTCCTTACCATGCTTTTATTCCTATGCTTCCTGTGGAAATGCAGAGATCCCGCAAGACTGAAAGTCTTCCTTTAATGACAGGCTACAGTTTTATGTAGACTACCACCACTTTTTCCAAACTCCCTATCTGTCAGTCCCCAATGCACTGACCCGAGGTCCAGTGCAAGCTTTGATAGCAGAGAGCTTAAAGGTGTCTGGCTGCTGCACTTCCCCTTCTCTTGCCATTGTCATAATATCCTTCAACACGAGCTGTTACAACTCAGGGGCTTATTCTTTCAGATAATGAAGTCAGCAGATAGTATTAATTTTTGGAGAGGGATGAGAAGAGGTGGAGAATCTGTTTCACACTCACTTTGTTTCTAACCGATATAGTGACTTCTTATGTTACATGAAAGATAAACCTTGCTTTCAATTTCTCCTGCTGTGCTTGTCACTTTTTAATTGGGCATGATCTGATAGAGTAATTCGCACTTTCACAGTTCAGTCCTGCCCCTACATGTAATTTTACAATGCCCTTGAAGCACACAGCTTAATATATCAGCATTATTCAATGACAAAAAGTAATGGACAAGAATACACCACTAGTCAAAAGTAGGTCAGTAAAAAGCTAACGCTCATTTGGAAATCACCTCACATCACTAAACCCTACTCTCTCCTGTCAAATGTTTTAACTACATTAAAAGAAATGCAAACTTTGCTGCTGAAAGAGAAAGCTACCCAGACTAGCTTTGTCTCCTTGCCGCCTTCTGCATGTAATTGGAAGAGCTCTGACCTGAAGATTTTGCTGGAAGGAAAATGCTGCTTAAAAATCTGATGGAGGTTACTTCCATCGTAACAAACTGCAAGCAGCACAGCAAGAAACACAAAAATACTTTCAGCCTTTTAGATCATCCATCTGAAACAGAAGACAAGCAACAAATTAGCAGATTTTTTTTGTTCTAATTTAATGAATCTATTCACCATCACTTCAAAGCAAAAAACCGCAAACAGGAAGCTGTGCGTGCCTTCAATCTAGCTAAGAAAGTACTAGATGACAGAGAAAAAAAGTAATAATAATTTATGAGATTCTGTTCTGCATAAACATGCCAAATGGTTTATTTTTACATTTAAGTGAACGGGATTGCTTTTTTCATCGGTTCTCTGGGGATTTACATGTTTAGTTCATATTGGCCTTGAGGGGAGTTATTAAAATAAAAAAGTATAAACACTCATGGAAGATCAGACACCAGGGGTTTTGCTAAGATTAAAAATAGACTTTTCTTGTGAAGCCTTAATTGAAGAAAAGTGATTCAGCATTTCTTTGTCTTATTTTATCATATATTTTTCTTCCTGCTTACAGCAGCGAAGTCTAGTCTTGGAATCATACAGAGCTGAGGAGCAGCAGTGAGGTCCTGTCATGGGCTTGTAGTTGCCACAGAGCATAAGACTGCCATTTTAGAACCTGCATAAAACTCTTCCAACAATTAACCTACAAAGAGTTCTTTTAAAATAATGTCATGTGTTGTTTCTCATTTGAAAGTAGCCCCTCTGGGGTAATGTTATATCTCTACCTTAAAAGTATTATTTGAGCCTGCAGCTGAAGGTGTATCATCATTTTTACCCTTCAGTCTTGGTCCTCACAAATCAAACTTACAAAGACCTATGGACTAAGACATATGCTTTGCATTCTATGATCAGTATTTTCAAGAACTTTCTAAAACTGAGTATCTGACTGGAGACACCTTGAACCTAGTGTCCATATAGAAGCTCTGGATGTGGATGCTTGGCACCTCAGAAGAATAAAAAATTGCATTGAGTCCCTCAAAATATTGGCAGACAGTATCACAGCAGTTTTTAAGTGCTAGTCTACAGGTCTATAGTCCTCTACCAGACTAATAATCCATATCTTGAGTCCTGGAGAAACAAAGTTTAAAGTTAATTTTTTGCCTTTCATTCTAAAAGGCATTATTTCTTTTCAATCTTCACACACACACACTTTTTCTTTTTTATTTTTTCAGGGAGACAGGGGAGGTGTATAATCACACACATTTTGACACAAAATCAAAAGCTGGAAGAGCTGCAATGGCTGCTAGCAGACCTGGACCCAGCGTGAAAAGAACTTCCAGACATTACCCGCCTGCATGACAAACCAGCCTAAACAATTATACTCTCTAACCCACAAGCATTACACTTCTTCTCAAATACTTTATTAGTCAGGTAAAGCAAAACTCCCACTGGCTTCAATAAGACTTTTAGCAAACTTAAGGATCTAGGATGAAATTTGGCTCTTAAGAGTGATATGAAAATAGAAGTAACTGCATGGACATGCATCGATCCACCTGTGGTGAACTCTGAAGGCAGCACTGGGTGTGAACAAGGTTAACAGACTGCTTGTCCTGGCACTATTTAGAAATGATCATTAATTCTAAGAGAAAGGCAAAAGCAGAACATGATTAGTTAAAAACATCTGATGTTTTGTTGTGGAAGATGTGCTGCATTGATGTGTGAAGTTGTGGTCTGAAAAACTGTGGTAACGCTTCAATATATTGAAAGGTTAACTTGAAAAGCCAGTCAAACTTCAGAGATGACATCTCAGCTGCTCAGCTACATGTCAAGATGATTTATCAAGCCTCAGTAACAAGACTTTAGAGTACAGAATGGTAAGGAATTTTGCATCTTGCAGACAGACAGTGGAAAAACCCAAAGCTCTGCGTAAAGAACAACTGCCTCTCTCCACTGAATTATTCCCAGGTAATTCAAGTAAAAAGAAGAGAAAAGGCCAGGATTAAAGAGAGGAAAATAGGTGGCTTGATGAAGACGTGCAAATACTCCAAAAAGGCTAACATTCTGGGTCAAGCCAATCAACCAAATTCTATTCTGGTTCACTGACTGTCTTCCAGTAATGAAGGAAATACTCTTGCAGCAATCATACTTTGTTCTGAGGAGTGTGCTAAACCTCTAAATATCACTGCAGAATGGCACAAAATTAACCCAGGGAAATTATTGCCACCAGAGATGAGGTGGCCAAAATTCAGGGGAAGTCTAAATGGATTGGATATTCTGTGAATAGGAAGACTACATAAA